GGCACTTCTCTGCTGTAGTTCCTGACCACGGGCGCTAAGCTCATCTGAGCACTAAGCTTCTGTTTCCTCATCTGGAAATGGGGGCTGCAGGGATCAACAATTCCTATCTCAGAGGGTAGTCATGAGGACCAAGTGATAATCTGGATATAACAGCACTAGCACAGTGCCTGGCCCACAGTCAGCGCTCAGTAAATGACAGCTAAACAGCAATGTAATAGGGTTCTGTGTGCCACACATGAGATTTGGAGGCAGCTTCGATGGTGAGTTTAGGTGAAGGAATTGGACGTGTCTGTGTTCACACAGTATGATTCATGTCTGCTCTGCTTTGCTGCTCCTGCTTTCCTGTAACCAATTTTAGAGCCGATCTTGGCAGCTGCAAGTATTTGGGATTAATTTCACACTCACTTTATGAGTTGAGCATTTTCCTGCAAGCAGCTCCCTGGGCCTCTGCCTCATTACTTTGGCATCAACTGATACGGCAGTTGGACATAGATGTCCTTTGGGGTCTCCACTTTATTTGGAAACCTTCAATTCGAAAAAGCAAAACAAAGGCCATCAACACATTCGTGCTTGAAATCGTTAGCATGTATTGTTTCCTAAACCCCTCCCTTTCTGTAGTTCTTTTGAACACCAGGGAACACACATCTTGCACAGCCAGTGATGAGCACTGAAAAATCACTCTCCTTCAGATTTAAGGCCTAGCAGCTGGTTGGCCTCGTTTTGCAGTTCCAGGTGAGCAGCGAGATCCTCTAGGCCTTAGTGGGACAGATCTAAATCTTGATGGGTCTACGTTTTCCAGCCCTTTTTGTTAATTCTGCTAAATTCATTTGGCTCTTATGGAGAACAAAGTAAACTTGGCTGTTATATGTAAAACCAAATTGAGAACATGGAGATCTGTTTAGTATTTCATGCTGGCCATTAGGTCAGGAAGATTTTCCTTGGGGGTAATTTACATAAGGACTTGTTTATTCCATTTCTTTCCAATTTCTGTGACCGTTTGGGGATAGCAGACTTTCCACAATGGCACAGAAATATAACCAGCAAGACCAAAACTTAGAGAAATGATGCTTCTCCCAGACTGATGTATTTTGGGCCTTGCTCAGGAAAGATCCTGTGGCTTGGGCTGCTGTCTCACTGAGAAGTCATTCTTCCACCACAGCTGTGTTTAGCAAGTTGGGTGGATCTGTGAACTGACATGCTGTTACACTTAGTAAGAATTTTCCCTTGATAGTGAGGAACGTGCGTAACAGCCTTACTTTAAGTCCCACCAAATGCCCAAATGTTTACTATGATCGATAGTTGCTTTGAGTGCAGCCTCCAACAGGGAACACCCATACTCACAGTACTATAGTGTTATGTGCATGCCCTTCACCTTGACATTCTGTTTCCTCTACAATAGATGCCCAGATTACCTTTTTTTTTTTTAATCCCATCAAATGCTGTTCCCAAGCTGGAATATTTGCTCCTTCCTGAACAAGCAGCCTCTACTTTTCTGCTTTAATGCATTTGTTCAGTTGTTTCCTGCACTTTTAAAGCGCCCTTACCCAACATCTTCTTGAGGATGAATTTCAGGTACCTCTCGCAGTGGCACGCTGGTAAATATTTAGCAACTCGTTCTCTGGGAAGGAGAGATGTTGGGAGGATTTGTTGATGTTCATGTTGTAAATACTTCTGCCGTGGCTGATTTCGGTCTACCAGTGTGAGGTCACTGAATGCAAAGTTGGGAAGAAATGGGCAATAACCCACCATTGCAGTGTTTCCAGCATACAGATACAATAAGCATAAATAACCTCAAGGGCCTAGACAATGGTAAACTAATTAGGAAGTAACGAGTTTTGAGTATTACCTTTGTTTTGTTGTAACTTATTTAATTTTAAGTTTATGTAGCTTAATTTTTAGTAATGGCTGAGTTTAACAGCTGGTATACAAAATTGAAAATCAAATGACCCATCCTTTCTCTGGAGCCTGTAGGAGCTGGACAAGTTGATTCCAGCACACCACTGCTTCTTCCTCTACCTTTTCTTTCCTAAAGTGCTCCAGAATCAGTAAGGCCTTTCTCTGAACCTAGAAGGTGCTTCAGGTTGCATGCAGGCTTTGAAGTGAGAGACTCCAAGGTTTGAATCCTGATCTCTCACTTGCTAGGTGATGGTCAGGCTGAGTGCTTAACTTGCAGTTCCCAGGGCATAATTAAAATGCAGGGCCCTTGTTAAGAGGCCGGAAGAAAGTGCTGTTAAAATAACTACTAAAATACAAAGCTTTTTTCTTTCTTCGGTAGTCTCTCTTTCACACCTTCTGATCGTGTTTTTATTTTCTATTTAATGCCATTCCAAGTAAGGAGAAATTTAAATTTGAAATTGTTACCATGAATTTTAACCATTAATCTTATATTGTGCAATGCCAGTTTTAAATGCAAATATAAGAACATTTAATGCTATGAGTTAATGAGCATTATCTCCTCATGTGCATGTCTATCATCCCTTCATTGACTTCACTTATAAAACACAAGTTCAAAAATAAAATTATTTAGAATTTCAAGACAGAGGGGCTCCTGGGTGGCTCAGTTGGTTAAGTGTCCGACTCTTGATTTCAGCTCAGGTTTTGATCTCAGGGTCACGAGATCATGCCCACGTTGGGCTCTGCACAGGGTGTCAAGCCTGCTTAAATTCTCTCTCTCTCTCCCTCTGCCCCTCCCCCTGCTCATGCTCTCTCTCTAAAAAAAAAAAAAAAGAAGAAGAAGAATTTCAAGACAGAGACAGCAGGGCATTAAACCGAGCACGGAGCCCTTCTAAGCATGGGCATTGCATCCCTGTGAACAGTACTGGACAAATTCCTTACATCTGCTGAGCCTCAGAGGCCTCATCTGTAAAATAGAGATCATTCCAAGTGGGTGGAGGTGTGGGGATTGAAGGCACTGATACCTGTATGGCACAGCAGAATGTTTGGCATGTAGTCTGTGCTCACTTAATTACAGGGATTATTATTAACCTAACAATTATATTAATATCATTCTCCTTTATCATTCATAGGATCTTTCCTACAATGTCAACATTTGCCTCTGAAGTTTTTTCCTTTTTCCATTATAAACTCTCTGAAGGTAGAGATTAGATCTGCCGCCATTGAATTTCCTAGAGTGCTTCCTGCAAATTCTTGCATATACCTGGCACTTAGGAGGTGTTTATGACCTTGATCTCTGTGTGATTTGGGCTTATCAACAATAAAGCATCTGTGTCATTATATGATGGTCCTCACAATGAGGCTTAATTGGTAACACTCACAGGAAGAAAAAAATATAAACGTAGACTTTAATAGGAGTTAGTTGTAATCATGGTGAGGGTGGGGGAAGAAGCAGATGATTCCAGGTGTTTTGGTTTAAGGAAAGTGGCTCTGTCTCTTAGAGGGGACTTCTTGAAGTAATAGGGAAGGGATGAGTTCCAAGCCTCATTTGAGTAAAAGAGACCTCAGGGATATTAACTCTGGCCGATAGTAATCTGTCCCTTTGCTAACTTCTTTTACACTTATTTTCTGTTCTGCACAGTTAGGACATTATTTCAGTAATGTTTCTTTCCACTAATTGGTTGTGTATGTATGTTTCCTGTCCAACAAATTATAAGATCCTTATGGACTATAACATATCATGTGCTTTTCTGAACACCTATGGAAAGGAAGTAGCACCGTATTAGGTACATAGTAAGCAATGCACTTTTTTGTAATGCTGACCTTGGTCCAAACTCCCAGGGCTCCCTGGAGATCTGAATGTGAATTGTGATTGTCTTTTCTATCTCCTGCAACCCCTCAACCAAATGGCAAAGAATCTTGGTCTGCCCAGCATTGTCAGGCAAGGACCTTCAATCGCTTTGTCTTTTCCGAACCTGTATGTCTTTTCCAGCATCTCCCAGATATTCTGAGGACTGTCCCCCTACAGCCCCTGTTGCTACATGGGATTTGGGAGACCACACAGCTGTAAACTCTTACTTGTTTGAATGATGATTTTTTTAACAAGCCCTTTGGGCCAGTGTCAGTAAGCCATGAAATATCACCAAATGGTTCATGTGCATTAGAGTTCTGAAAGTCATCTAAGCTCTAGTTCCTCAAGCTGGCAGGGACTGATAGAAAGGAGCTCACATTGCCCTGGCTTTTACTATTCCTGTTCTGGGGGCTGTCAGACGCCTTGACCCTCTGGGCCAGTCAGTTCATTACTTTTAATGAGCACAAAATTCACCAAGACATTAAAATAAAACACCAATGGGCAGTCTTGGATGTTCCATCCAATTGTTGCTTTAGTTCTTTTTTCCACAGGATTATTCAAGAGGATTAAAAAAAAAAAGCCAATTCTACTCCTGCCAATTTTATCCTAAGTAGATTTGGCATTGTAAAGCTAACACACCCTGAACATTTTTTTTTCTTTCAGGTCCCTGTGGGCTAGTGCCTGACATTTATGTTAAAAATGACATTACTCAATTGGTCAAATGTTTGAACATTATCTACTTTTTGGTTATAATAAAGAAATACTGGATATCCTAGCATCCTGTAACATGTAAAGAATAATAATTAGAGGTGGACAGTTACTTTCTGAAGTGTGTAATGAAGTCATTATTTTAAATTATGTGGCAAATGCGGTTATTTTGATATTTTTAATCAATCTCTGTGGCTAGTAATAAAGACTATTGTAACTGTATTTGAGGTTACTTATATTATCATATATTGTAGAAGGTCAATTGATGGTGAAGCAGACACCGAACAATGTCCCTATTAAGCTGATTTCATGGATATTTTCATCTCCTGGCCATATGGGTTTGGAATTACCTTAGGGATTTTTTTTTTTTTAAAGAAGGAAGTGAACAGATGAATGATAACTATTTTATTACTCAACATAGCTTGTGTTTGTGGAAGACAAAGTTCATCAATTTGTTTTAAAGAAAAACAAGAGTGTGCCAAATGTAATTTGTTGAGGGCTCAAGAATTGTGAAATTATCCCTAACTGAAGTTTGTCATTTTTGCAGGTAATCGCTCTAGCAGATGCAGTAGAGGAAAACCAAGACAATCTGTTCCAGTCATTCACCAAGCTGAGAAGTGCCACCCATCTGGTGATTCTGCTGATTGGGCTGTGGCAGAAGCTTAGTCCTGACCAGGTTGCTATTCTGGAAGCAGCATTTCTGCCACTGCAGCATGATACTCAAGAATTGGTAAGGACCCACAAGCCTGCAGTGGTAACAGCCATCATTATTGAAAAGAGTGTGGTTTGGGGAAGATCTCGCATGGCTATCATGTTTTCTAAGGTATCAGATGGAGGCTTTTTTTTTTTTTTTTTTAACCGAGATCCTGTTTTTCTTTTCTTTAAACCATAATAAAAATGTCAAATAAAGGCCTCTTTTTTTCTAGAGCTATTTTAAAAATAGGTATATAGTCCATTTTTATGTGGTATCCAGTCTATTTTTTATGTGCTCTTCAATCACTTAGAAGCCAGGGAAATAGTCATTTGACTGCCTGAGTGATGGCAGTAAACCTTCAGATTAGCTAATCCTTTCCTTTTCCACCAGAGAAAACAGTTCAGCCATTTTAATTTGCTCAATGTTCTTAAATTTAAGTGTTACTTCAAGAGTTAGGGAGAGCTGAGATAGCCTTGTTAAATGACAGGAATATTTTGTTACATTTATATAGTTCTTTGTATATAGTGTATAAACTCCTTTACTCTTGACCCTTTGAGTAGGCAGTTTAGAACCAAACAGGGCAAAATGAGGGTTCGTATTTGGAGTTTTTGGTGAAAGATTATATGAGTAAAAACATCTTAGAGCCCTTGAATTTTAGAGGTTTATATGACTACCAGGTGTCATTTTTGGGGAACTTTTTGCATGCTTTTATATACAAAGAAATAATATACTTCTTAGAAATTAGAGACCCCTGGACTTATTTTCTGTATTGGAGGAAACCATTCAAGAAAAAAATCATTTCAACTCCATTTTTAAACACAGCTATGAGAACATAGGACTAAAAATAATAGTACTAAAACTAACATTTTTGAGTGCTTACTAGGTAGGCATTAGGTGATATTTTAAGTGTTTCACAAGGATTATCTCATTTAATCTTAAACATGGCCAAAGGTAAGGTAGTTAAGGTACTGTTTACATCCCCATTTTATATATGAAAAAATTTAGGCTTTGAGGGTTAAGTACCTTTTGGAAACTAGTGGGTGGTAGAGCCAGGATTTGGGCCCAGGTCTGGCTGCTTTCAAAGCATATGTTTTTAACCAATGCACTGTATTTTAACAAACAAAGTCATGAACAAGATTTTGAAAATCACAGGCTTTGTCAGTTGAATGTAATTTTCTAAGGATTGTCAGATGAAAAAAAAAATCAAACTATATTTTATGTCCTAAACAAAATACTAATAAATAAATTGCAAAAAAATTTAGAGTACACCTTTTTCCTAGATTGAGAAAATAAAATTACTGCTAAAATTGATTTTTGAGACGCTAGAAATAGGGACATTGTAGTAATAGAAAACAATACAATTAGGAGTGTATTAGCAAGAATGATAACTATGAACTCAGATTTAGCAGTCAGAAAGATGTGGGTGGCCTCAGTTCCTGGTTCCACCACTTGATGCCTTCTGATCAGGTTTTCTAGCTGTTCTAAATCTCTACTTCTGTAGCTCTAAGCTGGAAGCAATAATAGGACCTATGCAATATTGAATAAGAATTAAATGAGATAATGGAATAGAGTGGAATTATATCTTACGCATTTTTATTTTCTCAGCATCTGGCACAATGCCTGACCATAGCACAGTCAATATTTGTTGGGTGAATGACTGGAGAGAAGGGTGAAAGCTACTAAGAGCTGACTTGGCAGAACAAAGGTAGTAGATATAATCTGGAGCATGAAGGATCAGGGCAGGGCCAGCTATATAACTTACAGGGCCCAGTGCAAAATGAAAATGTAGATCTGCTGTTCAAAAAGTAGAGAAAAGTGCTGAAGTGTTGTTAAAACAGGTACTAAAACAAAGCTTTTTACTTTCTGCCATCTCTCTCTCATCATGGTGCTTTATTTGCTATTTTATGTTCTTAATGAAGAAAAATTAAAAATTTAAGTTGTTAGCATGAATTTTACCCTCAATCTTTAGTATGCAATGCCAGTTTTAATACAAATGTAAGAGCATTGACCCTCTATGCAGAATCACCAAAATTATGTAATTTGTATTTTGTAGCTCATACATGCCTATGCATTTTGTTCTTAAAGAACTTGTGAATCACTGCACAAAATTAACTGTTTTTATTTCACTTCTTGATATGCACACATCTACCAACACTTTCCACCTTCAGCTTACTGATGAGTAAGGAAGGAGAGAAAGGAAAAGGAGCTCTGTGTTGCTCTATTTCCCCTTCCTTCTGTTACCGTTTTCAGTGTAATAGTTGGATAATACAGGGAAGTAACAGGAGTATAATGGACTGCCTTAGTCATTCCTGTTTCTTTCTTCATTCAAAACAAGTTTTGGTGCAAATGAAAAGCCTTGAAGGGCTGTCAGTGCCTCACTTAATCAGTCTAGATGTAACACGCCTTCCTTGTTCTTGCTTTGAGTCTCCCTGACTCCCACTCATTCAGGGGCCGTGGAATTCTAAGCTTATGGAGCAGAAAGGGAGAAGGCCACGCATATTGGGCATGTCTTCCCTTCTCACACACACTTCACTGTCCCATCGGACTTCACTTACAAAACACAAGTTCAAAGATAACATTATTAAGAATTTCAAGATGGCGACGGCAAAGCATTAATTCAAGTGTGGGGCCCTTCTGAACCTCGAGCCCTGTGCGACTGCACAGCTCTCATGCTCCTGAAGTGTGATTAGACCCAGAGGAAGAACTTCCTTGAAATAAAGGTTCTCAAATGTAGGGATTGAGTCCCCAGAGAGATTGTGGTAGTTCCAAATCTAGAGATCTTTAAAAACAGCCTCATTTGCTGGGAGTATGTAGTATGTTCATCCCTGTAAGCAGGTGAATGGACGAGGCGTCTTTTCAAAGCTGCTTTCTGCCCTACCACCGGGTTCTCTGCTGTCATACCTCCCAAAGCAGGGTGGGGAAAATTCTTTCAACTTTCTTCTGAATGTGGTGAGATTAGAAGGTGTGTATACTCGTTATGTCTATCGAAGTCATTAATGAGACAGGACATTTGATAAAAACATAACTTGGAGAAGAATGAATCAAGAAAGACATTTTAATACTGCTTGTTATGCTCTTCATCTTTAATTAGGTTGTGGTATTCACTTTGGACTTATACTGTTGAGACAGCTTATATGTCTGGGGAAAAAAGGAATCTTTTTTCATTCTTTAAGACGTACGCATGCAGTATGTGGTTTTGACATGCTAGTTCACAATCCTCCACATTATGCCTTTAGACCTCACAAATAAATGTTATGTGATGGGTATCCCACTGAGATGTGAAAATGAAATATGCAAACCTGAAATAACTTGGAGGGAGGGTGAGGCGGGGAAGAAAGGAGTCTCTGACCAGAATGTTGAAAATATATCCCATATTGAAGTTATTATGATACCACAAAAATCTGAATGTAATTTAGATGGTTTGGTTGAAAGTGGATGGCAGAGTACATGTGTGAGGGGGAGAACTTCAGACATGTGGACAACATTTTCAGAAGAGACTCTCAGTTCAAGGTCAGATGTCCCCACAAGTATTGAGAGGAGGAAGAAAGTACTCAGAAGAGGTTTTATTTATGTTTCAAATAGCACTGCATAATGGTTTGTTGCGTTGTTATTGAGATGGCATGTGTCACAAAGGCAAGCAAAATGCCCTAGTTCCCTCTGGAATATTTTCTTACTGGCATTGGATTCACAAAGCAAAAATATTTAGAATTTATTATTACTAATGAAAAGGAATGTGCTTCACACTATATTATCAGTAGTTTTTTTTTTTTTAAATACAATCTCATTTGGAACAGAATTCATCATTGTTTTCTTTGATCTGTTTCTTTAGTGATGCTTTTCTGTTTTTGCCACTTCTCATAACTGTTTTGGCGCAAATAAATGCCGGTATTGTGGAATATTACACGTGACTTTTCCAAGGTGCTGAAAGTTCATATGCCAAATGTGTTTTTTTTAGGGATATTTCCCTTCACTTTAAGAAAGACATTAAGTGTTTTCTTTGTCATCTCCAAAAAGAGCTCTTAAACTCAGTTCCATCAGTGGATTTGATAATAAATATGATATTGTCCCTGCCATCTTCCTGTCATGATAGAGAAGTGTTGCCCCAAATAGTGTATTCTCTCAGAGTACCTGATGGGTCAATTCTAAAATGAATTGTTTTCTTACTTTCAGGTTAGGGGCTGAGGAGATTTCAGAGTATTCGCAATGCAGAATTTAAACATGTATCTAATGACCCTTTATCTGTTTGAAGCTCTGTGGAAAATATTATCTTTACTTAGGTCAGTGAGGGCTGGGTTACTGGTTTGAGTCTGAGAGAGTGTTTAATTGTGATAGGACATATATCTCCCTCTCATAATGTTGTATAAAAGCCAAAAGCTGCAAAACTATACATACCTCAGGATTGACTTGAAGTCTTATCCAGTCATTTATGCATTCAATGAGTATTCATTAAGCATCTACTATGTTTCAGGCAGTGTTGTAGGCTTTCAGCATATTTCAATAAACAAAACAGAGTTGGATCCCATCCTTTGTGGATTTACATCAACATTTTAAGCAAACAGATTCCAGTCACATTTAGCCATAAACGTATTGGCTGTCTGATATGTTAGCTACTTGCCAAATGTGGCTATTTAAGTTGAAATTTGCATAAATTAAAGTGAAATAAAATTAAAGTTTCAGTTCCTCGATTTCACTAGCTATATTTCAACTGCTCAGTAGCCACGTGTGGCTACCATTAGCGGCTACCACATTGGAAAGTGCAGATATAGAACATTTCCTTCACCATAATAATTTCTGTTGCATAGTACTCTCCATCATTAAAAGAGAAAGGGTTTTGTCAATTGGGTTGACAACTCAAGCACATATTAACAAATTAATGAGAGAAGGGTAGGACACTGACATTAAGTTATGCCATGGTGTTTGCTTTAGCAGCCCTTATTTCTGATATTCTGGTATCATCTTCTTGGTCACACGTGCAATAACCAGGCTTTCTCCAGGGAGACGAATGCATCTACACAAAAGGGAGGAAATAAGCTGGT